CATTATGATTTCATCAATGTAATGAAAAATGTTGATATGAGAACCCAATAAATGAGAGAGAAAATGCCACACTTTTTAATACATTCCATATGTATATGTTAAACTTGAAGAAAAGCTTCAAGAGTGTCTCTGCAGATAACTACCGTTATTGCTATTAAAAACTTTTATTTTTCTTATTCTTAGACACTTATTAAGCAAGTAAAACCCTTGCGCTAAAATGTCCCCACGGACTTTCAACCTGAAGTGTAGTACAGTCCATCATCATCTACTCATTGCTTGCCGCCTAAAGGTATGCAAAATAAAATCAACATATCTTGAAGTGCAGCGCTGTTGACATATTGTTACAGGTGCAACAGCTTAATGTTAACGTAAAAGAGCTACGTTCGATAAAGATTAAGATAACAGGAGGTAGTTACAACAGAGAACTTAGAAGAACTAAGTTCTCTGGTACAAGAAGGTGTCTGAAAAGGGGATTTAGACCCGAAAATCAAAAAAAGTGGTTTGAAACTGATTAAAGCAAAAAATATATTTTCTGAAATATTAAAATGAAATTTAAAAAAATTAAAAAATACAGGCTTCCGAAATATCTAACCGTCAATTAAAAATGTAGATATTACTTACATTAATATTTAGTGACGTGCTCAATGAATTGTAGAGGCTTAAAATCATATCTAGAGACAATCATATATCGCTCAAAGTATAATAATATTTTTATCAGTATTAAATCGTCGCAAAATACCGAAATTATCTTATGTAGGAACTAACTGTGGTAGACTTAAAAAATAATTATTTCAGAAGTTACAACTACAAAAGGTTAAAAAGATGTCATACCCGAAATTTAACAAAACACCATTTACCAAGGAGGAAACGTACTTTGAAGTCTTTTTTCGCACATATGTGAACAAAATTTTTTTTTACCACCTGAACGAGTATGAGAACAGCAAAATTGCTGCGGCTAAAAATACATATATTCGCTTCAATAGAAGCTTACAAATATTTGTACTTATATGATATACTTGTGTACAAAAAATAACAACAATTGCAGGTAGTGTGTTACCAGATTTTTCAAAAATAAATAACAACCAAATAAAATATATATTTTTTCAAGCCCCTCTTACACATACGTGTGTATGTATGTGTGAAAATTTTTATGTTTTAGGCGAGTGTTTGAGAAAAGCTATGCGCTAACAGAATTTGTCAAGCGTTTTGAATTTCGAGTGCGTTTGCTGTTTGCTCTTTATTTGTTGCAACAACAAAAATATTTTGTTTTTTTAAAACGTTACTGCTTTCTTTTTCAGCACATTTTATTTTGGCCATCTTCTTTCTTTGGCAGTTGCGTCATTAACAAAACGCTCGTTTTTCACTGTTGCTAACTCGTTACTCGCTGCTTTCCTTATATACATACATATATATTTTCATTTTTATTTAGTTTTTTGTGATTTTTCTCTTCTTTTTTGTCACTTGTCTTTGCTACAGTGTAAAAGCAAAGCAAAAGTTTTCACCGTTAAGAATTATTTGCAACAATTTTGTCGAAAATGGAGTAAGAGTAAAGAAATTCGCGCGAAAGCGCACCGAAATCTTTTTTTTTTTACTTACAAATATAATATTTTTTTTCACGCTAATTTTTTTATATTGAAAAGATATGAGACGAGATGTTCACATTTGTACCCACGCTGTCGCATTTCGCATTTCGCATATACATATATAAATATGCTTCAAATGATGATGTAGTTATGAGACCATTTTCTATCTTACTGTGGTGTTGAAAGCTAGGCATTTAAGCTTTTAGAATTTGTATGAGTCTGGTATTCTTTTGTAGGCTCTCTGCCGCTCTGATTTCATTTCTCTTTCAGTTATTATTTATAAAATATAATAATAAAAAATCATTGCTATGAAATTTTTAAGAGTTAAGAAAAATAATTAAGATTATTATTCCATATACTACCTGAAACTTTTTTAGAAAAAAATTATACAAAAATTGGTTTTATTTGTTTAAGTTGAGTACTGAATCGTATATAAATGAAAAAAATCTACTTCAATTATGCGATTATGTTTTGGCAAACTAGTTGTAAAAGAGCGCTCAACTCAAATAATATTTCTCTGAAGATCTTGAAGAACAATAGTATCATTACAGTTGTCAAACCTATGACATTCTTGGTTGACTTATGGAATTATGAGAGATTTCAACTCTTGTAGTTTTAAAACTAGTCAAATGTATTCTTTCCCAATGCAATACTAGATTTAAAGTCGCTTATTTCTTAACCAATCGGGTTTATCTCTAATAAAGTGCAGCGTTCATTTTGTAGACTTCGTCAGTTAAGAAAGTATTATTTTGCAGATATTTTTTTTTTTGGTAATATAAACTACTAATTTGTAATTTATGTATTTACTACACTTGAGAGTGGCGAATCAAACATACAATCAAGTCGACATATAATAAAAATTTAAAAAAAGTTAATTTGAATCAGGTATACACACACTCTTTTGCATGAAATTTAGCTGGTTAATTTAGATGTTACACTCACGTGTATCTTTCTGGAGAGCGAGAGAAAAATCTAACCATAAAATTTCTACCCCACAATTTAATATTATTTTAGTAAAACCAGGAGAAGCTTTACTTTACTTAACTTTGACTAAGCTTTATTATAAAGAGCAATCGAGTTTATAGTCAAGGGACAGTAACAAAACATTATTGCGATAACCTTCTATGCCATGACATAACATGACTGAGAACCGAGAAAATTGATCACACTCTTGAGATTTCCTGAAGAGCAGGTTATGCTCTCTCCCACAATAAACAGAAAGTCCCTAGACGAAACTTAAACGGATTTTCAACTGGCCAAAAACCGTTACCTTATTACTATTCTCCAACCACGAAGAAATTCACTTCATACTTCACCCAAAAAAACAAATCCTGGATTTACTTGTTAAAAAATGTAAATTTTTTCTCCAATCTTATATTTATAAATTTGAAAGTTATTTAAAGCTTTCAGCAATTTTAAAGTGTTTATATAGTAAATATAGATATTATTATATATAATTATGAACAATACTTCACTTCGAGTACGAATACCTTTGAACTTTGCGCTAAAAAGTATGCCATAAAAAATATTATATTTATTGTATGTCATAACTTTGAACTTTGCTCTAAAAAGTATGCTATACAAATATTATATTTATTATCAATCTCATATATTATAGTTTTTATAATTAATTACTGTTATTGTTATATAAAGTATACGCTTTTTTACAATTAAACCAAATAATTTTACGTACATTAGTTTTATTAATTTTACAAAAAGCTCGTTAAATTTGCTAGTTTTGCGCCAAAAACATGAAAACTGAATGCATGCAAAAGTAATATTAATTTCATAAAATTTCAAATAACTGTAAAAACGAATAGCATACTGGAAAATTTGATTAAATGGTGCGCATAGAACGCAATAAACTATTACTATATACAACTGCATTGGTAGTGGACATAAGCTGAGGGCGGGAGAGATGCAGGAAGATTGCTGACCAGCTGAGTGGCAAAGGGACCGAGTCAATTCATGTATATACATATGTGTGTGTAACTATGCCTAAACTGGCGAACTAATAAAATGCACAACGGAATAGGCGAGAACATAGCGGAGAAATTAAAATTAAAATCAAAAGTAACAAAAAAGTTTAACAACAAATACAATACACACGTAGCAGAGCAAGCGCATGTGTATCTGCAGTCTATACAACATAACGGCAAAAAATTTAGCACACGAAAACATGCGACATTTATGAAATCAAAATCCAAATCAGCATCGGAATGCCAAAATGGTCTAACGGTAGAAAAGCAAAAAGGCAAAGCTAACAAAAAAATTGAAAAATTACCAGCGAGTTATTAAATAAATAAAACGGCGAAATTGGCGACAGAAAATAGCGCGAGTGAGGTTAGGCTGTGTGGCAGGTGGCATATAACGTATATGTAAGCGTGTGTGTGTTTGTGTGTGCGCATATAAATGGCGGCCAAATGGGAAATAACTGATATATATGTATGTGTGTGTGTGTGTGTTTAGAATTTTTTATTTTTATTTTTAAGCGTCTGTTATTTATTTAACAATTTTTGATATGGCAAACATGCAACATGGCAAACATAAAATGTCAACCGAAAATTTATATGGCAAAGCAAGGATTTTTTTCGCATATAAAATTTAGCGGAAATGCAAAGGGAAATTTGAAAAATGGAAATTTCGTGCAGATTTTTATAATTTAATTTTTTTTCTACCAATGTTGCAACAATGTTTTTTTTTCGTTTTTGAGCGGGGCTGGGGTACTATTTTGGTGGTGTGCATTTACCAATTTTTTGCAAACCAATTTTGTAGCAGAAAATTGTAAATTTTGGCACTAAAATTGTTAGTATTTTATTACATTTTTTTTTTGAATTTTTTCAACAAATTTTTCTGTGGTGGTTTTGGGGTGGCTCTAAATCAAAAATGTGCGCCTTGTTTATTTAAGCTTAAAATGTTTGCAATTGAAGGAAGCTCTTACGCCGGTATTTTATGTGTTTTTTCTCAATAAAAATTTTCAACGACAGCAACTTTTAAACAAAACATCGCCATTGGAATCAAAAAAGTACAAACTCAATCACAAAAGTATCCTAGTGATTATTGTATAAAAAAAAAACTAAACGTGATGTACGTAGATATGTAGTAAGTAAACAAATTCATAGACAAAGAACACGACGAAGAGCAAAAAACATATTTAATAAATATATTTGTATATATAATATATTTATATATAAATATATATCGAATATATGGTGGTATTTTATGTAGTAGTAGTAAGTAGTAAGTAATGTAACGGTATCATTTGAATTTGAAAATCGAAATCGAACAGGAGTGAAAACGTCAACAAAAGAAAAACTAAACACTTTTATCACTTATTCTTATTTTTTTTTGTTTTTGCTTTTTTCATATGTATATGTAAGAAATAGAACAAGCTTTTAAGGTTTGGTTTGTACTTACCGACTCATGTGTGGTCAGGCGATAGTCCAAATCACCGCCCAAGCCACCGCCTGCCGACGCTGAACGCGGCTGATGCATGTGACGGCTGTTGCTGTTGTCATCCTCGCTGCAATCGATCTCCTTCTTGAGTGACTGTAACATGGAAAGAGAGGTAGAAAATTAAATGCAATTTCTTTCAATCAGATCACCGCTCAAAACTCACCAGCGGCACCGATTGCACTGGCCCCAGACCGGACGTGCCCGCCAGCGCATCACTGCCCGCTGCGGCTGCTGCTGCTGAAGAGCTGGGACTCATGCCCGCTGACGTGGAGGCCAAACCGCAAACGCCACTACTGCCGGGTCGCTCAATGTTCGCCGCATCGCGTGGACTGCGCGAAGTTGCACGCTGTTGCTGGTGTGTGAGATCCGAAGCGAGTATGAGACCGCCGCACGATGTTGAGCTGGTTGCAGCAGCGGGTGTTGAGCGCGCTGATTCTGGATCACCGCCGCCGCCGCCACTGCCGCCACCCAACGGTGAGGGTAAAGCCAGCGCAGCTGCAGTGTGACTGATGGCTGCACCGATTTTCATGTTCAAACCCATAGCATCGTTCGAACTATTATCCTCAACATCATCGTCTAGATCCATTTCTTCGTCGTAACTGTCGGGCTCTTCGATTTTTTCCACCACATCCAGCACACTGCATGAGCCCGGTCGTGCGGGCGGCGAATCCATTGCTGCAATGCCATGATGCGGCTCGTCGTCATCTTCATCGTCTGAGTCATCGCGTCGCCGCGACTTGTTGTCACCATTGCCGTTGTTGTGATGCGCCGTTTGCGTGCTAGTCCCGCTGGCAATGCCGCCACCGCTGCTCGTCGTATTCTTATTGCTGCTGCTATTGTTGTTATTTTTGCTAATGGCATGCGTCGTCGCATCGCGTTCTTCGCTAGTGGCGCACGCGCCACCATCCTGTCCAAGTGTTGCGGCTTCACCGACGCTGCGCCCCTGGTAGAGATCAAGCGGCAGCGGTGAAGAGTCGCGTTCGGGTGACATTTGTTGACGCTTTGTGGGTGGCGCTGACGACGGACTACCGCCGCCGCGTTCACCGCTAGCGTCACGTTTCTGCGCTGTAGACGCCGTGGTTGCGGAACCGGCGCTGCTGCCGGCACTTGTGCTTGACGTGGACGTCGTTGATGTGGAGGCAGACGCTGTGGCAGCTTGTTGTTGTTGCTGAGTGGCCGCTGCAACGGCTGCTGCAGCTGCAGCAACAACGGCAGCTGCGGTGCTGACTGGCGTCGTAGTAGCTGGCGCTGTTGTTGCGTTCGCGGTGGCGTTTGTTGAGGCTGTGGCAGCTACGGCGGCTGGCGACGAAGCGGCTGATGTGGCTAAGTTTGCGGCTGAGGTGGCTAACGATGTATTGGACGCGCTCGTTAGCGCTGTATCGACGGGACTGTCACAAGTGCTTTTAATAGGTTGCGAATGCGGTCTCAAGCGATCCGGTTCACGTTCTGGCTCTCTCAGTGTTGTATTCTGATTTGTCATCTCTGCTAAGCCCTTAACCTGTGTGTTCCAAGGGTGAAAGAGAGATAAAGTAAGAATATTGTTAGTCAAAGAGAGAAAATGAATCAGCAACAACTTAATTGAAGATCAGCACATAAATATTTCAGGTCTTCAAAATTTATAAAAACAAAAATATATAATAGTTTTGGTTTACGTGTAAAGTACCGTTAACTTACTTTTAACGACTCGGCCGTTTTGAGCAAAGCCGACAACTGACAATATTGCACGTTAACTTCGCCCTTGTACATGAATTCGACTAATGTTTTCAGTTCGGCTAAGCGGACGTCCTTCAATATCACAATTGGATGTTTTTCGGGGTGGTCCAGAAAAAGGCTCTGGAAATACGAAGAACAGGCCGAGAGGACCACCTGTAAGGAAAGAGCAAAAAATGCAAGAATTAGTTGTTATTAAATGGTTAAACGCATATTATAGAGTCAAAAATGTTCTTGCTGTTTATCTTCTACTATAAAATAATAAGTTTAGTATCTAACTTGATTCGAGGCCTTCCTGAGAGACGATTTGTACTATAAAAAATAGTTTCAGTATTTTTTGAAAATATTTAAAAAATGTTTACTATATTACGAAGGTCGAAAGCTGATGACATGCACATTTTATACAGCATAGTTCTTGCTACACTAATATAAATGACAAGCTGTGAATTGGTGATCTTTAAATGACGCATGTGACTTATATACATTCACATATATATATATATATATATAGAACAGTTATAAAATATAGTAGATATATGTAATTAGTACCAAATTGATAACATTTTTATACAACTCATTAAAAAAATGTATTGTCGCGCTTCAATTGACAATGTTCACTGACATTCTTATGTCAAATATTGTCATTTTATTAAAGAAAACTTTATTTTATTATGTCTCTTCGATTTTATGTTATTACAGAATGGAAAAATCTTACTTTTGGTGGTATTTTTCCCCTTAATATAAATTAC